CTGCAGAACTGCAATCAGCTGAAGTAGCCTGCAGTGCTGCATTTAACCACTGCGCCACCTCGGCTCTAAGTGGTCTAAGTGCTATTGCTATTGCTAATAATAAGCCACCCAAAGTTTTACTCAATGGTAAGATGGGTGGCAAATACATTTTATAAATAAATACATTCATTCATCCATCCATCCATCCATCCATCCATCCATCCATTCATTCATTCATTCACTTTGAATGGCTATCCATCTCAAGCAAGTGACTCTGGCCAGCAAACAATCATTGAATTGCTTAAAATCTAATTGCAATCACAACCCAAAAAGAAGAATTAAACGCATATAGCAACAGAGAATTATTATGGTCCATAAATGTTAGCATAACCAGGAAATGGGGCTCTTCATATATTCAGAATTTGAAGCCCGTACATCAGATCTTCTAGAAACTTCCAAAAGGCCAGCTGAATTGGGGCCATCCTAACCTCTGGAGGGAGAATGTTCAAGAGAACAGGCGCTATGGCAGAGAAGGCATTCCTCTTGGTCCCCTTCAGTTGCCATTTCTTGGGTGATGGGGCCTTCGACAGGTGTCCAATCTGCTTGATTAAATTGGACAGGTAAAAACGACTGGAAGAAGATGGTACCCGGTCCCAAGCCATGAATGGCTTTAAAAGGGACAGCCAGCATCTTGGCTGCCATATTGATTTCACTTCTACCGTGTTTTCCAGAAAATGAGACAGGGTCTTATTTTCTTTTGACCTCTGAAATAAGCACTTAGTCTTATTTTCAGGAAGGTCTTATTATTTTTGAGGTGTAGGAGGCAGTGAGCATGGTCACCTCATGGCTGCTGCTGTGTTACAATATTTCAGGGGAGGGTTTATTTTAACCCATGTGCTCAAAAGCCAAATTGGGCTTATTATCTGGGGAGGTCTTATTTTGGAGGAAACAGAGTAGTTTCCAACAGCTGAGGAGGTCTTTTAACAAGGCTGACTTTGAATAAATGTCTTTGTAATTACTATGCCCTTTTAGAGAGTGTTTGGATCAGTTCATGAACCTTCTCTATCTGATGGAATCCAACCTGCCAGACTGCAGACTTTCTCCTATTGCTTTCCTTGGGAGGAGAAATGAGACAGACATTCAAAGATACTAGGTGTTAAAATTAAACTCACCTGAAAATGTAGAAGGCCATCAACAATCCTGCGCCTAGCAAGGCCCCTACAACTATTCCAGTAACTGCTGATTCCCCTACGCCACCTGCTTGAAAAACAAACAGAAATCAACCAAAGGAACCCCTTAATAACAAAATCTTGCAGAATGATTGAATTACAGATTCAATCTAATTAAATGTACAGATTTGTTTGAAGATTAGGTTTTAATGAGGTTGAAATGTTAGCAAAAATCTCAGCAAGTATATTACCAAAATGTTGGAAATGTGAAATAGCACATGGAACATATTATCATATATGGTGGACGTGTGAGGAAGCCAAAAAGTATTGGAAAAAGATTAAAAATTGGTTAGAATAGATAACAGGAGTCAAAATTGATTGGAAACCAGAAGTGTTTTTATTAGGAAGAATGACAACCAAATAGAAAAAAGAAATCCAGTATTTAATTCTACACATAATTATGGCGGTGAGGATTGCCTTCGCTCAGAAATGGAAAAATAAATTGATACCAAGCGAAGACAAAATAATAAGGTTATGGACTGTGCCGAAATGGACAAATTAGCAAAGGAAATTCAGGAAAAAGAAGAGACAGAATATTATCAGATATGGGGAAAATGGTATAGGTGGTTGGAGGAAAGAAACAAGGGTCAATGTTTTCGAGGATTTTCACGGGTGTAGGTATGCTGGTCTTATTGTATTCAGGTCTTTTCCCGTGTATATGTATATATATGTATGTATGTGTGTGTGTATGTATGTATGTATACATACATACATACATACATACATACATACATACATATATATGC